ATGATCAATGAAACATTTTTTGTTGTGAATCAGCTTTAAGTAAAAAAATTTAACTTTAATACAAATATTTAGGATATTCCTTACTACAAGGGAACAGAACTTCGTCAAGCACTCCTTTACACTCTGAAATTAGCCTTAAAGGTACAAATCAATTAGCTAACTTTCAGTAGAGAAGCCTATGAATAAATGAAAGGTATGGTTGCATGGATTAAATTTGGTCGTGTTGCTGTTTAACATTTTTTTAAACTTTTTAAAACTAGATCTGGGCTGAAAACCCACATCCCAAAATCTGTCCCTTAACTCATAGTTTCATTTCAACATTTTTTTTTGATTTGATTTAATTTGATTTATCAATAATTTTTCCGTTAGTGTAACAGTGCTAAGGATCCGTTGGATCCGCAAGATTTTGGCTTCCTGGATCTGGATCTTCTAAAATATGTGGATACACAATCTTTGCTAAAAAAAAAAATTAGTAGATTTCAAAGAAATACCCTGGATCCAGATCCGGATGCATTTTTTCAGTGCGGATCCAGGATCCGGATCCGCATCAAAATTAAATTGATCATAAGCACTGGTAATAAAGTAATATAGAATTTGAAATACATCTAAAGTTTATTTAGGGTGTAGTTGCTGAAGATGTTTACGAACACTTTCTGTATTTGAGCGTCACCTCAACTATTCTGATCAGCCCAAAGTAGAAAAAGTGATCTGAAAGAAATTCGACTCTATCCAAACCAAACAGATATTATATACTTTTAATGTTATTCACTTTACAGGTTACAGCATCTCGTGCCATGTGTGCAGGAACTCATGAAGCATGTGATTGACCTCGGCATACATATCTACGGAGAGACGTACCTTACCATCAATGTTTATACTCTACTCCATCTTGTAGATAATTATAAGGTATAAATAAATTTTGTGATTATGTTTATATATTATTTAAATGTTTCAAATTAAATTATTTGCACAATTGTAAAAATCATTTAGTTTATTTTGATTATTTTTTTTGATGACAATTGTATAATATATTATTAATTATATAATAATATATNTGGGGGTATGGGACTTGATAAACAGAACTTTATAAGTTTGCTATCTTGGTTCTCAGACATTTTATGCATTCATGATAAATATGTTATGTAGTTATTAAAAATCAATGTTTTCTATTTGTGCATAATTTTGCATATTTTTTTCTCTTTTCTTTTGGAAACCTCTATTTTCAAAAAAAAAATTATTTAAACAAATTTAAACTACACCATTTATATATGTATTTATATCTTTGTGTGTGAATAAATCTTTATAATAATTATAGAAATGGGGCCCGTTGGATAATTCTTCAGCTTTTATCTTTGAATCTTATTTGGGTTCCATGAAGAGACTTGTTCGGTAAGTTTACTGTTTTAATTTAGCCTTTGCAGAGATATCAAATTGTAAAACAATCATTTAGAATTATTTTTTAATCACCCGTTTTATAGGTATTTTTGTGTTTGTTTATGTGTGCTCAACTGAGGGTAATGGGAGGAGGATTAATTAAATAAATATTATTAAAAATTATCAAGGTTTTTTTCTGAGGTCCCTTCCCCCCCCCCAAAAAAAAAGAAAAAAATTTAAATATTATGTTTTGCACCTCATATAGAGTTGTCACTTTATGTATGTTCTAATTTAGGAGTGGCAAGGAGCCTCTGAAGCAAGTTGTGGCCAGGCTGCATGAGGCAAGCACTGTTCACAAGCCGAAGCTTGTTCAGCAAGAAAATGATATCCCGCTGTATACGAAACCTCCAGGGAATGTGTATATTTCCCTGGAGGAAAAGATTCCCGTTATTCACGAGAAGCTAAGTGGAAACAGTTTCGAGGTCATCCTCTTTGACCAGACCTCAGATTTTTTCACTAAACCTTTTCCTTCAAGAGTGATGTTTAATTATCTAGTGAATGGTCGAGGGAGAAGAAAAGTTATGAGCATTGAAGAAGTGAAAGAACTAAAACTGATAAGAGCTCTAATGTTTAAATCCCATGGTTAATGCCTTATTCAACAGATCCTGCACTGATCCAATGATATAGCTAATCAAGGATACTTTCATGTACTGATATCCAGGATACTTTCATGTACAGATATTGTGGAAGACGATATTTTCCACCTATAGAAGTCTTAAGAGTTCCGCCGAGCAAACCCAAATATATTCAGTTGATTTCATGTGTTTTTCCGTACCAGGATATCTCCTGCTTTTGTATAACTATAAACTTAAAATATATAGTTATAGAACCATCCAGCCTCGTTATTAGAGTCCGTCCTCACAACTTCTATAATATCAAGGATTTTGTATAATTTAGACAAAAACATATGAGTTACTTACACAATTTTGGTATCATGGTATTTTTTTGGGTTTAATTTTACGTGAAATTTAAGAAAATTTTACAGAATATGTAAGAAAATTTTACAGAAAATTCAAGAAAAATTTACTAAATATTAAAGCAAATTTTTCGGAAAATTCAAATAAAAAATTCAAAATATTTAGGTAGATTTCGTAAAATTCGAAAATTTTGCGTAAAAAATACATAAATATTTTCGAACATTTCGTAAAAACTTGGAAAGGGATTCAGCTATTATTTTACAGTACGAAAATGTAAGTAAAAACCTGCAAATTTTACTCAAAATATACCAACTTATACGAGATTTTACGAGATTTTACTTGAAAATTTTACGTAAAAAAAGTATCGTTTTTACGTAAAATTTATGTATTTCATTTACGTAAATTTTACTAATTTTGACCCAAAAATACGTATAATTTTCTAATTATTTTCGAAATTTGGTAAATAGGGAAACCTTTGTCATTGATGACGCCGTGTCCCATATGCCATGGGACAAACTAAGTGAGAGGGTGGCGAAAACCATCTCCCGGGTTGTCGAAAACCTGAAACAGCAAGATTTTTCTACAAAGTCTCTCAAGCATTGGTCCGTCCACTTCGCTGATGTGTTTGATAAATTTTTCGTGACAAGTAGAGTGGGTAGAATTGCTGTGGTTTATAATTCATGCTCCACCAGCTTGAAACAACGTCTTCTGGCGCTAGATGTCGGTCAAGAAGTTCAGAAGGATTCCTACTCTTACTTGAACCTGCTCCATCTCATTACTACTGTGGTCCATAGCCCCGTCTCCAGGGATCAAGCCATGATGGATATATACAAAGGATTCCGTCAGGCAAGTTCAGAATCCGTTCAATCATTCTTACAAAAAGTTAGGGACACAGCAGAAGATGCTTGGGGCCTCAGCTCAGGATGGACAACGTCGCAAGCGTCCCTTCTGCTCAAGAAAATCTGTGAGGGTTTCTACTCAACAGAGTTAGCTAGGTTGACAGCATCCCTCGTTATTTCTGTACCGTTCCAGTGGACAACGCTGTGTGACTCCGTCCTTCAATTCCAGCAGAGTGAAATCGTCACAGTCCGAGCAAAATGTAAATGCAATACAACAGAAAGAAGCTAGAACCCCGGTCTGTTTCAAATGTGGCGCGGCTCATTATATGTGTGACTGCAGAATTTTAGTATGTCGTTACTGCGGCCAGAACCACAAGCATGCTGATTGTACCAAAACCGGACAGAAGACAATTTGCGTCAAGTGCAAAAGCAAATACCATAACGTTCAAGGGCATTACAAGTATGCGCCAGACGGCCAGAAGCTTCGCAGTCCGGATATAAATATGATTGAAGCCACATCATTCCTAGAAGGTGCTGTATCAATGGAGATGAATTCTACAGGTAAACATTTTGAAAATACTAAAATTTTAATCGATACCGGCGCCCTCATACCAACGGGCGTCGCTATCAGTGAGTATTTTTTCATTAACAATTTGCAAGGAAATGTAGAATATTTAGTACCGTCGGAGTTAAACTCAGCAAATGGGGCTAGTTCAAATTCGACGATGGAAACAGTAGGACAGCTAGATGTTAAGATTAGGTTTAATGATCTTTCTACAACCTTTTCAGGTTCAGCTGTTGTTTTGAAAAATTTATCTCTACCAGTTATAATAGGGATAAATTTTTTAAAAACAAATAGTCTGAGCCCAGTTTTAGAACCATCAGCTGCACGTATTGTACACAGCCCTAAAGATGAGCATCAGGATTTAATAGCATATGTAACACACAGATCCAGACCCCTAATTAAAACACCCAGAAGGTCTGTTGAAAAATCCCCCCCTATTCGAAAACCCCCCTACCCCTCAAGACTTTGCTATTGATAATGAAGGCGCACCTGTAATGCTGTTGACATCTAAAAACTTTGTAAAAATTCCAAAACAAACAACAAAAGCAATAGAAGTCAATGTACCAGTAAACCCCGCTTCTCTCATCAATGTACAGCCCCTTGATGAAGAACTCCTTGATGGTGCTCTACCTGTAGTCTACCGTCATAAAACCCAGCAAAAAGATAAGTCACTTGTTATTATGTATGCAAATTTGTCTGATAAAGACGTTATTATTTTGCCCAATCAATCAATAGCCCATGGCTCTATGATTTCTGAAAACAAAACTAAACCTGTTATAAATGTTGTAAATAAAGGGGTGAAGGATCCTGTGGTCACAGATAGAATTTGGGCAGAATTAAAGCTAAATGAAAACAAAATTCTGCAAGAAAACATTGCTGTCAAAAATATGGTTTATTCAATGAAAAATGACAACCAAGATATTTTTCCACTGAGGACTGTAAAGTAGGTAAAACTACCTGGGAAAAATTTAAAATTGAATTAATACCTAATGCCTGGCCCGTTAACCAAAGAATGAGATTGATTCCGCGGAATCTCAAAGAAAATTTATGCACGCAACTTGATTTGTGGTTAAAAAATGAAGTTATTGAACCCAGCTCGTCTCCCTGGTCCTCGCCTTTGGTCCCCATGACCAAGAAGAGAGGGGAGACAAGGTGGGTTTTAGATTTTTGCCGGGTCAATGACCTCTCTGTGACTGACAGCTTCCCCACCCCTAATATTTCTGAAATTTTAAATTCTCTAGGTAAATCGAGGTATTTTTCTACCCTCGATGCGGCTAATGCCTATCATACCATAGAGGTAGAGGAGAGCTCTAGGCCAATAACTGCTTTTGCAACTGCATTCGGTCTTTACCAGTTTTCAAGGATGCCCTTTGGGCTGAAAAATGCTGGAGCTTCATATTGTAGGTTTGTACAGAGACTGGTAGATATTTTAGGAGTCCCTGGAATAGTCGCCTACCTGGATGACGTGCTAATCCATACCGAGGATCTGGATACTCATGTTAATTTATTAAGATTAGTTTTTGATGCGCACAAAGAAGCAGGAATCAGACTAAATGCAAGTAAAACACATTTATTTCAGGAAGAAGTTGAATATCTCGGTCATCTGGTCAACGCTGAAGGTGTTAAGTTAATTCCATCTTATGTTCAGAAAGTTGTTGACTGGCCGCTGCCCCAGACTGGAAAAGAATTATCTGCATTCTTGGATTTTACTAATTATTATCATGATTTTTTACCAGGTTTCGCGAATGTTACAGCTGAACTAAATAGTGTTAAAAATAATAGGTTGATTGTATGGACGTCAGAGATTATTAATAATTTTAACACTTTAAAACAGATGTTTGCAGCAGCCCCGTGCAGAGCCACACCAGACTTCTCTCCAACCGCTAAACCTTTCATTTTAACAATAGATTTCTCTAAAACTGCAATTGGTGCAGTTTTATCTCAGGAACAGAATAATATTGAGAAATTTTTAGGTGTTAAAGGGCGAAAATGCAGAAATTACGAAAGTAATTACCATAGTTCTAAAGGTGAACTTCTCGCCTTAACATATGGATTAACTAAGTTTGAACAATTGTTAAGGTTGAATCAGTTCATTGTCGTGACAGACTCCACAACGGTGCTTCACTGGTCAACCATGAAGGACTCGGGTGGGACTATCAGACGATGGCTAGATTATATACAACAATTTAATTTTACAGTAATGCATCGTGCAGGTAAAACAAATATTAATGCCGATTTGAGCTCCAGAGCCACACACATGGATGACCCCCCCCCCTCTGATAAAGATTCCATGTTCCCCCTGCCCTGGAAACATTTAAAAATTGGTGAAAAGCCAAATTTAATCGATATGAACCAGGTAAGCATGTCAAAAATAAACAATTGTCCCAGTTCAGAATATTTACCCCCCTCGTGTCAAGGTAAGATATGTACCATAGTTCAGCCACCTTGGCACCTATCAGGGGCCCGGGCAGATGAAGGAAGTGGACCCCCCTTAATAGGAACTTTTAAAGGTAAAATCCTAATAGATCAAGTGTGTAGATACCTACATTTTTGTAGATATCTACATGGTTCTAACATTCTGATTACGCCCCTATTCAAATAGAAGAAGTCAGTGAACTATCCCTCTCCCCCCCCCTCTTTCTCTCTCAGACTGCAGTTTGAACCCTTCAAGGATAAACTGAAACCAGCGTAAGCTAAAAGCGCGCCTGATTCTAGAAGGTTCTAAAAGTGCGCTCTGGACGCGCAAGCGCGGAGTATAAAAGGATGCGCGCAGCGCGCTAAAAGGGTCGGTACTGAATAAGACTTCAAAGAAGAAACCAGTGATTTCAGCTCCTCCAAAACACGGACTCCGAAAAACACCGGACTAGTTAGAAGGTGAATAAACTCCTTGATGATCCATATATAGAATTCTGGTTTCATAAGATTGAGAAACAGTTTTGTCAAAAGTTTCCTCCCCCCAAAACCGGAACTTAAGTTTCCGTCTCCTAAGATTATTAAGGAAAGGCTCTAACCCTAACACCTGCTTTGGTTGTTCCGCTTAAGTCTAGTTGAACTAAAAGGCCTTTTATCTCGAAGGGAAATTAGGTCCGCCCCCCCCCCTCTTCTACTATTGATTCATTATTTATTATTCCATTTGTTTAAAATCCTAAAGTTATATATATATACAGAGGTTTAAAGTATCATTTTGTTGTGTAGATATATATGAATAGTATAGTAATAAAACATAGTTTATGCTAGTAAATATAGAATTATATCTATCGATCTGATTTGTGATTTTAAATAAATTTGTTAAGTCAATCTAAGAAATATACTTCACGTAAAAGAAATTCATAGATATATATATATTTGAGAGAGCGATAGAATTGCTAGGATCGAAGAAAGAATCAGTAGATTGACCGCTTCCTTGCATTTTATACACTGAACCTTTATCTTTGCCAATTTTAGAAATCGCTCAACTTAGAGGTCTATTGCGAGCAGCAAAAGTTATAGACTCCGCTTATTATAAGTCCAT